CTACATCAAGGATCGGCCCTGAGCCCCTTCTTGTTTGCTTTGGTGATGGACAGATTGACAGATGAGGTCAGACAGGAGTCCCCATGGACTATGTTGTCTGCAGATGACATTGTGATCTGTAGTGAGAGTAGGCAGCAGCTAGAAAAGAACCTAGAGAGGTGGAGGTTTTTGCATTAGAAAGAAGAGGAATGAAGGTCAGCCGCAGCAAGACAGAGTATATGTGTGTAAATGAAAGGGAGAACAGTGAAATAGTGAGGTTACAAGGAGCAGAGGTGGTGAAGGTGCAGGAGTTTAGGTATTTAGGATCAACTGTTCAGAGCAGGGAGACTGGAAGAGAGGTGAAGAATAGAGTGCAGAAAGGATGGAACAGCTGGAGAAAAGTGTCAGGAGTGATCTGTGGTAGAAGAGTGTCAGTTAAGGTGAAGGGAAAGGTTTACAGGACAGCGGTGAGACCAGCCATGATGTATGGTTTAGAGACGGTAGCAATAGGCAGAAGACAGGAGGCGGAACTGGAGGTGGCAGAGTTAAAGATGCTAAGATTATCTTTAGGAGTGACAAGAATGGACAGGATCAGGAATGAGGTCATTAGAGGGACAACAGACAGGAAGGTTTGGAGAAAAGGCTAGAGAAGCCAGATTGAGATGGTTTGGACATGTGCAGAGGAGGGACAGTGGATACATTGGTAGAAGAATGTTAAAGATGGAGCTACCAGGTAGGAGAAAAAGAGGAAGGCCAAAGAGGAGATACATGGTTGCAGTGAGGGAGGACATGCAGATAGTTGGAGTCAGAGTAGAAGATGCGGAGAACAGGGAGAGATGGAAATCAATGATTCGCTGTGGCAACCCCTGAAAAAGGGACAAAGCCGAAAGAAAAAGAAGAACAGGAAGAAGTTTGTTTTTGAATCCAGTTGTAGGACGAATTGGACAGGCCGTGGCTTAGACTGTGCTTCAAGACCATCTAAGGTGGTGATTAACAACTGGTGGCTCGTGGACCGAATCCGGCTCATCAAACAATACTCTTACCCCAAAATTTGATTTTTATTTCTGGCCCCTAACGTGTCTGTCTAGAAATTCTGCCTAATATAGTTTGTGACTCCTGTTTCAAGGCTTTGGCACTAAGGATATACAACATAGCTCATCATCGAGTTTAAGAACTGCCTTAAACTAAAGTTACTGGTCTAACAACCTCTTCAACGTGTTCGGTCCATGGCCTGTTCTTTGTGCAGCTATTACAGAGTGAGACACTGTTTTTTGTTAAAAGCTGTGATCGTGACATTCTTTGTACGTGCCGTAGGTGTGAGGGCCACCACTGCGACCCCATTCACGGGAAGTGCTCACAGTGCAACCCAGGCTGGATTGGGGACAGGTAAGAAATGAATATGTCAGAGAATTGTCAGTTGGTTCATGTGCGGACCTTTTAAATTGGTACCAGATCTGGACTGCAGAGCCTTTATGCTCTTGTCGGAAGCAATATATACTACATATATTGCTAAAATTGTAAAATCAAACTCTGCAAGTAACGTTTCTGGAGCGTGGATGCTCTTCATCTCTATTTATCAGAAGAAAACCAGGAATGTGTACTAATCTGAAGGAACATTCTTGTCTTGTCTTGTCTTGTGGTATCTCTGCTGAGATCAGACCACACAAAAATTTAGGATCAGGAACTATTTTATGACGGTTTAAATCGGGGGTCAACAACTATATTTGTCGGAGGGCCGGAATATTTCTGGATAAAATGAAATAAAAATCACATTTTTGTTTATAATTATTAAACACAGATGTTTGTTTTTGAATCCAATCGTGGGCCGGATCGGACAGTCCTGTGGCCGTGGCTTAGACTGTGCTTCAAGACCATCTAAGGCGGTGATTAACAAATGGTGGCTCGTGAGCCAAATCCGGCCCATCAAATAATAATCTTAGCCCAAAATTTGATTTTTATTTCCAGCTCCTAATGTGTTTGTCTAGAAATTCTGCATCTCTGACAAGTATAGTTCGTGACCCCTGTTTCAAGGCTTTGGCACTAAAAATATATAACATAGCTAATCATTGGGTTTAAGAACTATGTCTTAAACTAAAGTTACATTGACCTCTTCAAAGTGTTCTTTCCACGGCCTGTTCTTTGTGTAGCTATTACAGAGTGAAACATACTGTTTTTTGTTAAAAGCTGAGATCGTGAAATTCTTTGTACGTGCCGTAGGTGTGAGGTTCGCTGCCCCAACGGCACTTACGGCGAGAATTGTGAAAACAACTGCAGCCACTGTTATAATGGCATCTGTCACATGGTCACCGGAGAGTGCCTGTGTCACCCAGGGTTCTACGGCACCTAGTAAGTAACTTGACAACCCAAGACTTAAAAGACAACACTTTGGTATGTGATGAGGGTCAGGAGGTGTCTACTTGTTACATTTACTAGTAATTCATTATATGTACTGTAGTATGCAGTGTAATGTTGATCCTTGGGTCTTCCTTTGGGTTTCACAAGTTTGTCCCTGAAACTCACACCAAACTACTGTGTTTTTGTTTTTTCTTTATGTTGAAGCTGCAACATGACCTGTCAGCCGGGCCAGTACGGAGTAAACTGCAATCAAACCTGCCATTGCCACGACAAGGGCTGTGATCCCATTTCTGGAGCCTGCTATCTTCGTAAGACAATATTTTTTTCTGAAGAGCCACTGCATGCTTTGTGGTCTTGATGTTTTCAAGGTTTGAAGTGAACAGAAACAGAAAGTAGTGTTTGTTTGTTTTTTCTTTGAAGTCTAAACAGATCTGGCCTACAGAGGCATTGTGAAATTGTTCTAACCATCTAAAAGTGTTTGTCCTAAAAACAAGATTGCACTTACACTGCTTGTCCAAAGCACTAAAAAAGTCCTATAATTGGCAGTGAGTAGTACCAACAAATGTTTTAGTTTTTTTTTTTTTTTCACATCAGTGCGTGTTATGGGGAAGTAAGAGTAAAATAGCCTTGATAGTGTTTCCAGACTCAATGATTGTGTTAAATGGAAGTATTTTTTTCTGATGGATGGAACACAATGACTGAAGGCAGCAGGGCCGGAAAAGCAGACCAGTCATTTTTGGAGGATGTAGAGGTTGAAGGAATATAGTGGACATGATGAGCAGGTCAACATACGTCTTTGTCACTTTAGGTCCAATTACATCATAAATCAAACTGTCCATCAGTCCAGTACACATGGGTCTGATGGGACTGTAGGCAGCAGACATCGGTGCCATTCATCATCATTTCGCATGATTTTCAAAACACCTTTGAATGTAATGTAAATCATTGGATTTTACTGATTTTATCTGAGTCAAGCCAATCAGAACACAATGAGTTCTGAGCCAATCACGGAACACATAAATTCAACACATTTCAAGGTGTCTACATGGGTTTTGTAAGGTTCCCACCAAAATACGGTCCGTACTGTTAGATTTCAGTGGTTTCACATTTGGTTTGGGTCTGAAAGCAGGAAGATGCTAAGACACCAAATGCCTTCCCAGCACACTCACATAGCCCCAAACATTCAAAGAGAATTTCTCCTAAATTCTCTTCACACTAACTCTCCAGACGACCCCCTATTGTGTCAAAACACCTCTACTCTTTGGGAACAATGGGAAGACTCCCAATCCACATCCTTACAGGGAATCCCGGCTCCATCCATTCCTTTGATTTACCTAACCCCCTGTTGTTTGCTTGACCTCAAGGCTCCATCCACTCCTTTTGTGATAACATCTACTCAGTGACAAAAGGTCCATAAACATGTCCTCCAACACTACTGAATCATGCAGCAGCAGCGCCACACAGTGGTGACTGCAGGCACAACCATGATACAATAATAATAATATGATTGGCCACAAGAGGCCTAACCTCTGTCTTCCATTGGCCTACAACATTTAAACACACACCCGGGAAGTCAAAAACCACTCCCCCCACATAGATATATAAGCGTAAACCACTAATGATACATTGGAAGTTATTCTTGGAAGTTATTCTAGGAAGTTATTCTAGGAAGTTTAGTTCTTGAATTTGTGTACTGGCAACTGTTGTACGAGATTTTCTTGACTACTTCTACAGTCTTTTTATTTTGCTCTTGGACCTGTTTGTTTTGGCGTTTTGTTATTAAGCGAATCGACCATCTACCGGCTGCTTCATTCCTTGCCTGAGACTACCTACGAGGTGATTTCTTCAATTTTGGTGCTGTGACTATGGGGAAAAGAAATCCTCCAACTGGTGTCCTGCTCACGAACGGAGAAGGGCCAAATTGTTCAACTGGTACCATGACCCAGATCGAAACATAGCAAGAATCTTTCAGTACACATTTCTGAAATCAACGAGTCTGTGATAAAAACATACGTATTTCAATTGTGCGCCCCCTACTGCCTATGATACATCACTGTGGCTAAAAGAGAGTTCAATGATGCAACCGAATGTGTCAATATCTTCAGCACAACTCAATTTTAAACTGCGACTTACAGTATCTTGCTGGCGCTACTTGTCAATTTTCTTGCAGTGCAGAACTCATAACCTGCCGTGTATCTCACTTATAGCCGCAGAATGGCTAATGAATCATGGCCCTATGGTGACGGCTGTGTAGTAATGAGGCACAGAAAGGAGGAAGTTGCTCGCAGGAAATCAGTAATGAAAGTGTAAGTGCGTTTGTGCCGTGTGGGAGATGAGACTGATAACTATGTACCTGGAGTACAATAGGTTTTAAGCTTTGAAGCCTCATTTCCTCAGACATGCCTCATGGCACAGCTCTTTCCTGCAGCCTGAGCCAAGATCATATGAGTACAATTACATAAAGTCTGCCACCTGCTGGCATTCAGTCACCTGAATTTTGTTCAGTGAATGTTGTTTAGAGCATTGTTTCCCAAAGACTGGGTCGTGACCCTCAGATGGGTCGCAAGAGATTTTATTTGAGTCGTCCTGCATCATGTTTCTCAGGAGTTTATGAATAATGGTAGTTAGGTCGTAAAGTTTTATGACTTAAATATGGGTCCCCAGAAAAAAGTTTGGAAAACACTGGTTTAGAGCAAGGATCTCCGTCGGTTCACAGCCTAAATGTATGTAGTACTTTTATATTTACCACATGTATGTTATTATTAAAGTAATATATACGATTAACTTCATTGTGTTTTGTTATGCACGTGACTTCCCCTCCCACTTACACACACCCCTGCTGACGATCTGTGGAAAAATTGTTCTGCTTAAAACCATTGCATAGTTAAAAAAGAAATGTCTTTTTTAGGCGTTTCCTAAACTCCCCCGCATTAATGTGACACGTTTTGCTGAAGCTGCACTCTCTGAGTCTGGATCTCTGCTACGGAGGTTTTGAGGAGAAACTTGTTTTTTTTTTTTCAATCTCAAAATCTCAAACAACAATAATGTTTTAATGCCCTATTTTCCAGAGGCTAACCAGAGGATGGGAGTGATTGCAGCTGGAACCCTGGTCTTCTTCTTACCGATTGTCCTGCTCTCCCTGTTGTTCTGCTGCTGCTTGTGTCGCCACAAGGACGACCACAAGTCAGTAACTGATGTCAATCTTCTTTTCCCTAATCTGATCCATGATGGAGGCTCATTTTTTTTAGAAAGCTAAAGAAAAAAACAACTGAACTTTACTGAAAACGTAAATGACAATATATATATGTATATATGTACATATGTATATATGTATGTATGTATATATGTATATATGTATATATGTATATATGTATGTATTTATATATGTATGTATTTACATATGTATGTATATATGTATGTAAATATATAAAAGATATACGACATGTATTTTGTTTTTAAATGAGCAAACCTACACTGTATTTTTCAGTACATTGACATTTGACTAGCGTATGGGCAGCTAGCGAGCCCACTGCTGAGGCAGCGAACCAGGGTTAATGAGCCTCCCTCTGAACGATTCATTTGGATTTCCATGGCATCATCCCTTTTCAGTCCTAACCAAGATAACTCTACCAACAGCAAAAAAGCCAAGCGGATCCTGTGTGGACGATTTAGCCGAATCAGCACAAAACTTCCCCGTATTCCACTGAGACGACAGAAACTGCCAAAAGTAGTTGGTAAGCCCCGAATTCCTTCTCATGTCCCACTGCAGTGCTGGCGGAAGCAGCTTTACTTTTATGTAATCTGTTTCTCCTGCGCTTGTGCAACACTGTCTGCTGGAGCTGCAGCTAAGAGCCGGGGTTTGGTTGGAAGCTTACAGACGCCATGACAGCTCTGTGGAGATTTCAGGGAAAATGAGAACCTAAACTTGCAGCCATGACGCTGGGGCAGATGAGTGGCAATCAGAGCGAGCATCCCAGTCATTCAGGCTGTGTGGATGGTGAACATGGTTGATGAGTGTGTGGTGGCTGCCAGGCAAGTGTTGGGTTTCATTTGAAAGGAATGCACTGGTTTTAAAGCCCCTTATTATTCTTGGCACCCTCAGACACCCTCAGTGTTCATATTATTACAACCCTAAACTGGAGATTATTTTCTCTTCTTCCATTTGCTTTGCTCGTTTCC